TAAGAAGACTAACACAAATTCTTAATACATACTCATAAAGCCTGGACGACTTAGTAGAAGACTAATAATTAAGTCGTCTGGAAAGTCATCCAGCTGGAAGACTTAACTGTAAGTCTTCCAGACAGGTCATTTTTGCAATTGAAATTTAAATGAGACGACTTACTTCTAAGTCGTCCAGCTTTGTATGTTAAAAAAAAAATCTGGACGACTTATAAATAAGTTGTCTAGGAAAAACGGGCTAATTTTGTATTTGACCGAATTATGTCAGATATTTGACTTTTCTTGGACGACTTACTAGTAAGTCGTCTCCGGGAAAGTTAAAATTTCAATAGTTTATTAAATCTAGACGACTTACGGATAAGTCGTCTTAGGTTAATTTTGTAATTGAAAAATAAAACTTTAATTTTAACTTTTCCCAGAAGACTTAATTTAAAGTCGTCCACTCAGACGACTTATTCTAAAGTCGTCCGAGATAAGCAAAGTTTGACCGGAAAAAAATCTGGACGACTTTACTTATCTCAGACGACTTTAGAATAAGTCGTCTGACTGGACGACTTTAAAATAAGTCGTCTGACTGGACGACTTTAAATTAAGTCTTCTGGAAAAAATTAAAATTAAAGTTTTTTTTTTCAATTACAAAACTAACCTACGACGACTTATCCATAAGTCGTCTAGATTTAATAAAATATTGAAATTTTAACTTTCCCGGAGACGACTTATTGGTAAAAAAGTCAAATATCTGATATAATTCGGTCAAATGCAAAATTAGCCCGTTTTTCCTAGACAACTTATTTATAAGTCGTCCAGATTTTTTTTTTTAACATACAAAGCTGGAAGACTTAGAAGTAAGTCGTCCAACTCATCCATAAGTCTTCTGCGCAAACAGATCTGGAAAAAAAATTCAATTTCATACCTTAAACTAAGTGAGATGACTTTCTTAGCACACAAAGTCTTCTCCAACCACCAAGAATATCAAATGAAAGTAACCCACCAAGAATTGTATGCTTAAATGGCTCTATCAACCATAAAAAATTTTGAATCAAAAGCTTGGGTTTTTTGTATGAATATGGAGACAAAGTGAAAGAGATGTTGTTTTTAGTTCATAACAATTGAGAAAGAGAGAGTGTAAATCGATTTTTGGTGCATTAAGAGCTTCAAATTGGTTGTTCATGGTAGTTAGGGTATTGATGGCAATGTCAATCTTGTAAATACTTGAAGATGATGAGGTTGAGAGAGTAAAAAAATAATTTTCAAAAAAAAGAAAAGAAAAAAGTGTAATGGCATTTTCGTAAATAATGTGAATAGATGGGGTGAATAAGACAAACGAAAAATCAAAAAACAAGAAAGGTTAGTTTTGTGTTTGACTTTGAGTTTTGAGTCAAATTTGCAAAAATCCCTTCTTTATACTGCTATCAATGTTTCCAAACAATATATTTATTTCTTTATATTACTATTCACTACTATCCATGTTTCCAAAAAATACTATAATTAATCTTATGTCCAAACAATATTCTCATTTCTTTATATTACTATTCATGTTTTCAAACAACACTATAATTAATCTTATATCCAAACAATACAAAATATTAGATCTTACCTTTTTAATAATTTCTCACAATTTCTTT